GACGTCCGTCACACAGACATCCAATGCCATGGTAGTTCATGTAGATGAAGCTGGACATCTACCGAATTGGGAGGAAGCCAAAGTAATCCATGAAGGATTGAGTAAACATAAAAGGAAGGTCATGGAAGTTGCAATACATCGCAGACAGAAAAGATATGGACACCGCATCAGGCAGGTTTAAAGTGTCCAAAGTCCAGCTGCAATTATGCGCGTAACGAGTGCGAGGTCACCAGTCGTCAGGGTGATATATATGTATATACAACACACACACACACACACACACACACACACACATATATGTATATATATGTTATATATATATATATATATATATATATATATATATATATATATATGTATACACACAACACACACACACACACACACACATATATGTATATATATATATATATATATATACTATATATATATATATGTTATATAAATATATATATATATACACATATATATTATATATATATATATATATATATATGTATGTATGTACATATAATTTAACACACAAAATATATAATATATATATATATATAGACATATATATATATATAGTATATATATATAATATATATATATATATATATACTATATATATTAGCCACACACACACCACACCACACAAACACATTAACACAAACACATTGTAAACACACCACACATATACTAACATATATATAACGCGACGCGCACATAATATACACACACACACATCCATAATAAATTCACACACATATATATAGAATTGTTAATATAAATATATATATATATATACAATATATATATATAATATATATATTACATATGTATATATTAAATTTAACACATATATATAAACACACACACACATATATACAATATACATATATATAGATAATATATATGTATAATAAATATATATATATATTATTATATATATACTATATATATATATATATATAATATATATATATATATGGGGCAGTGGCGTGCTTTTCCATGAATGGGATAGTGAAGCGTCCCTTCCCACCACTAGCTTGGGCAAGGTAGAATAACTGAAAGCCTCCCTCTCTAGGGTTACAGTTCCTGTCTGGTCAGCAAGGGCAGGAAGGAGAACAGGCGTACGAATCTTTGGATCAACGGCTGTTTTATCCAGTTCTGGTAAGCGGATGATCACTGTGGTGACAACGGTTAGCAGAACAGTCCCAGTTAGCGGGAATTGCTGGGTGTTGGTAGTTCTAGGGGCCTGCCACACCTATTTAGCCCCCGAAGAAAACTATGACAACGCAACAAACTTCTGATTCAGACCTTAGCAAACGGGGTGTTGGAACCTTTGGGGATATCAGTCCAGCCCGGTGGGGGGGACTGTGGTAAAGCAGGCAGACCCTCATCGTCATCACGCTACTGTTTCAACATCAACATCGCTACTTGGAATGTAAGAGGACTAAAACAACCTGGTAAATTGACAAATGTAATTCAGGAGATGGAAGAACTAAATGTGGATATCCTGGGCATGGCAGAGACATTCTGGAAAAAAGGCAGGTGAATTTGATACATCTTAACATCAGAGTAATATTTTCTGGAGGAGATAGAAGCAGGAGAGGTGTGGCAGTTATACTGAAAGAAATAGTTACTAGAAAGATCTTGTATTATAATACTTATAGTGAAAGAATAATAGCCTTGATATTGAAAGGAAACAGAAATGATATACTTATTATCTAGATTTATGCACCTAATGAAGATGACAGCGATGAAGAGAAGGAAAAAAAATTATGAAGAGCTCAATAACATAATTTCAGAGAATAAGAAATTTACAGACACTTTTCTGGTTCTAGGGGATTTCAGTGGAAGAGTAAGTAATAGGAAAGAGGATAATATTTGTGGCCAGTTTGCAAGAACTGATAATGGAGAGCGAATTGTTGAATTTTGCAGAAGGAATAGGTTAATAGTGGCAAACACGTGGTTCCAACAGAAGGAAAAAGCTAGACACACTTGGACATCACCAGATGGACAAACTAAGAATCAAATTGATTACATCCTAGTCAGTGCCAGATTTAGAAACAGCATAAGAAATTGTAAAAGTAGACCTGGTGCGTACTGCGTTTAAGATCATAACCCAGTTATAGTAAACCTCAATATCAGACTTAAGAATATCAAGAAGAAAAAGTCAGATGTCAAAAGATGGAATGTGGATGCTCTAAAGTAAGAAAGCGTAAGAATGGAATATGCTGAGACAATGGAAGATAAAGCGAAGAACATCTTAGAAGAAAACTGCCAAAATGTAAAACAGACCTGGAAGCGAATGAAAGAATATTACTGAAGTTGCAAAAAACATAATTGGTACAAAAGTAGTAGACAGAAAACAACAAGGAATGACTTGCGAAATCTTAAACATGATGTCAAAAAGAAAAGAGATGAGAAACCAGGGTAAAAAAGATGAACTAATAGTAATGAATAGGGAAATAGAGAAGGAATGTAGGAAAGCGAAAGAGGGATGTTACAAGAA